GTGGGCAGAATCTGCGAAATAAGACAATTGTTAGTTCGGCTGAAAGATTAAAAAACCAAAATATAGGAAAGCACGCAAGAAAACCGAAGTAAGTATATCGGGTTCTCCTTTTTTCCAGTTTATATGTCGGCCAGGAATCTGGGCTTGGTGGTCCTCAAAGTTCCCAGACACCCAGAAAAAATCGTCGTCATTCAAGTCCTTATCCGGTGTGTTTTTTATTATTTTCTCACGACGACGGCGTATTCTGAGATAGTACACCCAGCCGTCTTCCTTCAAACCAATGGAGTATTGGTGAAAAATTTCGGCCAGACCGAGGTTGAGACCGGCTTGGCGGTTAAATTCGGCTATTCCCATTATTATGCGGTATGAATTGGTGGATAGTTGGGTTGGGCATAGTCTAGTTTGCCTAAGAAACTCGCAAATTAAGGGTTGGACTGGAAATCGTAGTCCGGTTTCAATTATGGATAAAAGGGTGAAGGGGACAAAGCCTTCATTGCCCCAAGGTATGACCTCTTTTTCGGCTAAAATCAGGTGGACGTCATCGGGTATATTGTAGTCTTTTCTGAATTCGGCTAGGCCGCCCGGAGTATTTACTAGATACCTATACTTCCCCATTTATTGTATAATTTATGAATAAATTAAAGTTCGGTCCACAAAATTGTCTCAGTAGCTCGGTTGAGCGCGCAGAGGAGTGCCTAGGCAACTTAAGTCTGCAAAGTAGAAAACAAAGGGGTTAAGCACAGATCATTGGACCGTGCTACAAAATAAAAGTAAAAAATAGGAGCCCTACATCGGCTATGTGGATGGTACAGGTCTTATCTCGGTTTCTGCAAGGTGATTGGTAGCTCGGTTTGAGCAGGGCTTCGTTATTTTGGGCTTGGCAAGCGTCTAGATATCTCGGTTGTGGAAACAATTCTGTTTGACCGGTTGATCGTCTAGGGGCAGCTTTCTGAGTTCCATCTAAAAAACTAAGAAAGCTGGTTTAGCCCCAAAAGGCCTAGTTCGGTTGGTTACCTCGGCTAAGGTCTATCAAGAAGTGGTTTTGACTTATTCAAAGCTACTGGTGTAAACATGAAGTGTTAGTCCGGTTATAAGCTGACTAGACTTTTACCTAGCTTAAACAGTATCCTAGTTCGGTTGCATCGTGATTTTGGATCGAAAAACTAGTCTTCTACAGGATATTACATATATGCATGTGTTCTATTGTTAAGTTTTTCCAGAAAAATATAGAGCAAAGCGAAATGGAAAGACATGTTTTGCAAAAACACAGAAAATAAATTACAAAAACAAAGTAAGATGCACAATACTAACCAGATGAAGAAGCAAGAGCTGAAGATGGAAGCAAAAAGCAGCAGATCACGAACTCTTTCAGAAAGACGAAGAATAGTGAAGAACACGAGCTCAGAAGATTGAAAAAGCAGTAGAGGCACAGAGAGGGAGAAGTTACAAAATATGGCAAAAATGAAGAGGTTTTTGCTTTAGGGTTTGCTTTTGTTAGAAAGCCCAAAATTTGGGCGGGACTATTCAAAAAAAAAAAACACAAAGTACGAAGACGGTGTGACAGCCGTCCTCAGTCAATCAGAGCGTGCCACATGCCATTAGAATGGGAAGCGTTACAGTCGCTGTGATTGAAGAGACGTTTTGACCAGACAAGCAGAGCCCGGTGTAAAATTAGCTCGGCTGGAAGGTTTAAGAGTTTTTAGCTCGACTGGAAAGGCTAAAGGGTTTTTTAGCTCGGCTAGAAAGGCTTAAAAACTTCAGCTCGACTGGTAGACAGGTAATCCCTATCATGCTGCGCAGATGGAATTAAGGGGCAATTGAGAGGGTAATTTTTGTAAAAATTGGGCCGAGCTCGGAGATGGTCATTATGGCCAACAATACGAAGGGCTGAGTAAAAAAGCCGCAAAGTTACTCCGGCCCAAGAGAGGTACAAAATTACTCCGGCCCGAGAGAAATGTAAAGTTACTCCGGTCCGGAAACGACTTGGAGTTAGGCCGGTCTCAGAGTTAGTCCAGTCATGGCGTATTGTGGTTAGAACGGTCAGAACCTTGCTACTCGGTAGCTCGGTCTAAACACACCATGGGTTGTACATGAGAGAACTGAGATAAAAGGACGGAGTAAAGGAAGAACCGAACTAAGTATAGTTCGGCTACTCTGCGGCTCAGCATAGCATGCTTATTTCGATCATGTTGGAGTTCGGCCCATGTAATAACCATCTCACTTGGTTTAGCAGCAGTGAGGGGGTGTTGGAGGGATAAGGATTATCCTTCGGGAGGTTTAAATCCTAGGAGGACTCTGCGTAGAGGAGTAGAAGTCCTACTAGGATTGTGCCACACGAAACCTATAAAAGCTCAGCAAACATCAGCCTTTAGAGGAACACCACTTTTGCTTTCGAATTACGGAGCCTTTTGTCTATTTGTCAAGTTTTCTGACTTAGGCATCGGAGAGGTTTCCGGCACACACCCGCCGGCTAGCTCACGTTTGTGTTTTCAAGTGATAAAGCGACGACGTACAGAGGAGCGCAGACTTGATCAACAGGATTATACGAGAAGGTTTATTTCTTTCTCGTACAGGTATAAATACAAATAACGCCACTAGTTTCAGAAAAATACACTGCCAATCCTTAACATATTACCAACTAACAATATTACCCTCTTTTTTTTCGTTTTTTTCTTTTTCTACTTTGTTCTTCAGCTCAGGCAACCTCCTCTCTTCCCTCCACCACCACATAGTCCACCGCCACCTCCCTTTCTCAACAATTCTGGCCGACCACCACCTCCCCAATTTTTTTCAACGATGCTTCATCATCTCTCTATTACGAGTCTACAACCCCCCACCCCGCTGCAAACCTTTCAAAAACATTTTGAATATTTACATAAGAAAAAAATATATATAATGACTTATTTAACCAGATGTCAAATTTTTGTTTCTTTATTTTGTTTTCACAGATTATAAAAAATAAATAAATAAATAAAAAACTGCACCAAGCAAATTCATCTCTTATTTTAATTTTTTTTATATAATAATTAAAAAATTATAATAATAAAAACTAACATCTTTTTTATAACAAACAAGACTATTATATATAGTCACTAATGTTACACAACTTTTTCTTACTGACATGAGTTTAAAAATTATTACTGTATGACAGATTTATAAATTCTTTGAATTAAAAAAAGAAAAAAAAAAAGCACTTGAAAAACTTAAGGGAAAATTAATCTAAGGTCCCTCTCCTATTTTTTGTGGTGAAAGAGATCTACAATATTATTTTGTAATGTCTAAGGTCCCTTGATCCTACACCCGTATATTTCAGAGAAAATTCACTTTCTTGCTTTCTTCTTTCCTTTGGCTAGGGCTTTCATCATTCTCTCTCTCTCTCTCTCTCTCTCTCTCTCTCTCTCTCTCTTTGATTCAATCAACCAAAATCGTTGCCTCCACTCTCGCTCTCATTCACTGCCACACCCACCGAGTGATTCATTTTGGAGCCAGATCTGTCATCATCAACTTCATTAGCAAGTTCAGAGATTTGGGGCGGTTGATCGTCACGAAAGCGATCCCAAGTCACAGGTATTAGGTTTTCCGGCGACGATCGATCCATTTCTCTCTCACCACATATATGTGTATACGTATATGTGGTGAGAGAGAGAAATGGACTCCCACCGCAGGCCTCAATCCAACTTTATCAGTTGTGTACTGGGGTTGCTCACTGCCATAGCCATGGCGTTCTTTATAGGTAATTTTGTTCTTCTTTCATCGATTTGCCTCTTTGTGAGTGTTGATCATGATAAATACCGATCACATCACCAGTCATTACTCAAAATTGTGTTTGTGTGTGTATATATATGTGTGTGTGTATTGGTTTGGGGCATGACATAGACCGGGGGGGCATGTTATGTGATATAATTTCTAACTCTGTTTCTTCAAATTTCCCAAGGTACTGTTGACAGATCTTGTAACACCCCAGCCAATGTATAAATCATGGATCACATTTTGTTTGAGGTTTATGATTTTCAACCAGAAAAGATTGTGAGGAAGAATTTCTCTGGATTTGAAGAGGGAGAATTTCTCTGGTTTGAGTGAATTTCTCTGGGTTTGGAGAAGGGAAATTTCTCTAGAGAGAAAGAAAGGCCAAGAAGGCCAAAGAAATTTTCTCTTGAGAGGGAAATTTCTCTGAAGGCTAGAGAAGGAAAATTTCTCTAGAAAGAAGGGAAGACCAGAGAAATTTCTAAGTTTTCTCTAAAGAATTAAGTCCAGGAAAGGCAAGGAGGGCAGAGAAATTTAAAATTTCTCTGGAGATGTAATTTTGTAAAAAGGCAGAGAAATTTCTCTAGGAGAGTAAGAAGTATATGAAGAGCAGAGAAATTTGAAAAAGAGAAAGGCAGAGAAATTTACAGTGGGAAGTTTAAGGAAGGTTTCTCTGGATCAATTTTCTCTGTGACATGAATTTTCTTTAGATCAACTTGAAGGATCTTAGACATTATTAAAATATTGAATGCCGTTTATGCTATAAAATCTTATTACTAGGGACCTTAAAAAAAATCCCCAAAACTTAATAATTTTTTATACTAATTTCCTTGTATAGCCTATCAGTTTTGAACTATATACATATGTAATCTATTTAATTATATAAAGCTAGCAATTCACTTTGGTGTAAATAACAAATTGAAGCAATGTCACTCTTTTTTCTCCCAAAAAAAATCTCCTCATTTTTTGTTGATCAAAATGAGTAAACTTATAATATTAAAGCCTCCCGTTAATTTAATTGAAGACTAGGTTCTCAAAATAATTCCAACCGTCAATGTCAAATTTTTGCCCCAACATCTACAAGAAATAGAGTACATAAAGTAAGACTTTGATTCTCTTCATTTTATGTATTTGATGAAAAAATTTCATTACAAATCTAATGGTTATAAAATAAGAATGTAAATTTATAATTAATTTAAATTACAAAAGATAATTACACTCACTATTAGATGATGTAATGAAATCTTTCTATTACAAATATGAAATGAAGAAGATCACAATTCCAAACCCTAACTCTAAGCTGGTATTATGCATTGCGTATCAAATATGTGACCAACCCTAGGCTAGTATTAGGCATTGTGTATCAAATATGTGACCAACTACCTGCAAGACCGGGTTTGCTATAAGCAAAACAAACCAAACAGTTCAAACTTGACTTATATTTGGCTCATTAAAAAAATCAGCTCGTTAGGCAAATAACACGAAGCTTGAATACATTTTAAAAATCAATAAAGCTTTCACAGGCTCTCTCTTTGCAACAATAGCCCAATGGATGTATCAAGATTGCAGTCCATCGGAGTCCAGTACTGGAATGCAATTCAACAAGTCCCCTCCAAACAAACAGCAACCTATCATCTGCAAAAGAAATACCTACCCTCAATCCCTCATTTTCTTGCTGCTAGACATAAACAGTACATCAAACTTTTTGATAGGAAAATTTCAAGTGGAATAGAAGATAGTAAACTTCAGTCGATAATATATATATATATATTCCTATACAGGTAACTTGAAGCCAGCTTCTGTTTGAACATGCCATTTGAGGCACGGGTTCCATTCAGATATAACAAGTTGGGAGTCTGAAAATTGAACGGTTATCGAAGCTAGAACCTAGGCAAAAAGAAATGATAATAAGAAGTCTGTCTTACCCTTAAGATTAAGGCCGTGAATTCTACTCCTGCTCCTGCTCTTGCAAGGTATAGTACTGAGGAGCGAGCTCAGCTAACCACAAGTAATCAATTCTAGTAACATTGCGCACGTAATTATGAGTAGTTCGGACAAACTCATCAAAAATTATGCAGTCTGGCTTTGTCCGGAAAAATACAGAAGAAGGATGGATCTGCACCACCTGACCACTTGACAAAACCCTGCCATTTGTGAAGTAACTGTGAGAGGTCATACAAAAGGAGATATGGAAGAGGGTTTCCAGATTAATAACAAAGATGAGATACAATATAAGAAATTTGCTAGTGAAGATGAATAGAAAGAATAAATCTATGAACACAGAAACTTGTCACAAAACCACACAACCCCTCACATAGGTTTGTGTGGGACCCACAAAAAGGTGAGAACCGTATCATGTGAGGATTCTGTCCATGATTGGTTTAGTGTTCCTAAAAGAACTGGAAAAAAATGATTAAATATTTACGAATTACATGAAAGAGTAAAGGCTATCCTTGTTAGAAGGTAGTATAGTGTGGAACTAAGAACAACCAGCCAGATGAAAACTAAAACTCATTACAGTGTTTTTGGTACCTGTATGTACCATCAGGCTGCTTCAAAGCTGCATTGAGGAAAAAAGCAGCAGCAAGGCAACGGCGAAATTGAAGCATGTCATCTCCACAAGATGCAATACCTAGACCCATTTGTTCAATATTTCCCTGAATTTGCCTGCAAGAAAGCACAATGAATTAACTCTTGAGAATTCTTGAAGCACTATCATAGAGATCAGAGAATATCATGAGTCAAATAAAAGGTGAAAAACATTTCAAAAAGGAAAGTAAACAATAAATTATAAAAACTTTATTTAGTGATCAGTTTTCAAAGCATTTTTGTTTTAAACACGAGGGGAAGAATGTAGCTTGCCTGTGAATGTCACGAGCATGCCTTAGGGCACGGCTATTGATGAAATTTTCCTTGCACCATTTTCTAAGATTTTTTTCAGTTTTTTCTCTACTGTTCCCCAGATTGCTCTTTTCCAAGAACTCATCAAAAGCTCGATATACAGCAATCAAAGTCGGATGATCTCCCTCTAGACTTGAGAAGCACTTCGCTGCAGTTCGTGCCTGGCCAAGGGGAAAATCAATTGGGGCAGTTCCGGTTTCCAAATTGAATGCTCTCTCTCTCTCTCTCACACACGCACACACACACACATGGAGTGCCACAAAGGCATTAACAAAAGGAAGGCATCACATTAACTAAATCAACTAGGTGAAAGAGCTGAGAAAACCCACATCAATTAATAAACAAGCAGAAACGGCAACAAGAATCGACTATAACAATTAACAACTTCAACAAAATTGTGCTACAATAACAATTGCATCACAATCCAGGTTATCCATGCCTATTAATGGTCTAAATCATTGGTGCTACTCCAGGTTTTCCTTATAATTAACCATAAACATGACAACCCATTAAGGCCCTTCAAAATTATCCACCACAATTCGATTTACTTTTATTTCCACATTAAATCATCTCGCTGACTGAGAATCAAAAGGCCCTTTGCCTTTATTTATAATAGTTCATCAATTCCAATTGCAAACTCAAGTCAACAATGCCTAAATTCAACTATTTGGGGTTGCAGTTGGCTACATGAATCCTATTGTAATTTCCACCCTATCTAGGCCACAACTTACAGTTCAATACATAAATTACATGCTACATTTTTCTACTACCTTATTCACGTAAGATTGGTGATGTAGTAGAGCGTTGAAAGGAGCTGTTCTCATGCTGTAAAAGCGCTGAAAATTAAGAAAGAAAAGAAGGAGAAAAAGAAGGGAGTTCTAAGCATCACTTCTACAATCCCTTCACACCTAGGGTTTGATTGCATCTCACAATCCGTAATAAAGCTTCAAAGCTTTGAAATTCTCTAAAATACCAATTCCATTAAATAAGAAGTATTACATGACTAGAACTAACAGACTTCCTAAACCAACTAAAATTCCAAAATAGGAAACTACTAAAATTTTGACTTCCAAAACCAATTTAAAATCAAATAAGAAACATACATAAAAACCAATTAAATAACTTGACTTACAAGACAACCCATTGGTGACCCCTACAGGCCATGTCATCAAATATGAAAATTAAGACTCTAATTATACTAGAAACATAATTATATAAGATTGCTATCAGTTTCTCTTTGAAATCGTGCCAACGTCCAAATATCATTGCTTTTTTTAATTTAACCTTCCTTGACCTTCTTATACTCTGCATCAATTGGTCTACCCCTTCTCCTAGCATTTCCTTCAAAGTAGAGCACACCATTTATTTCACTCGTTTTCATCTGGTGCAGCTATGGTTCTTCGTTGCACATCACCAAACCAACTTAGTAAGTTCTCTCCTAACCTCCTATCAGGCTTCCACTGTCTCATGAACATGCTGGAAGTTGGAACACAGTTCTAGTTTTTCGGTTTTTCCACATTGATATCAACAATCAATTTCAGCCAAGTGTCATTTCATGAGCATGTTCTGTCCCTATCTATGACTCACCTTATAGTGGTTTAATAGATTTTTTCACCTTCATGGGTATACATGAACCATACAGTAGTCCAGAACCACCCTCCACTTACCCCATATACTGCTTCAATTATTTAAGTAACTCCATTTACATACCAAGCTCAGAGAAATAAAGTATCCAAACTTTGAACATTATGATTCAAATATTTATCAACTAAACGATGGTTAATTTATTGCAGATAATCTTGGCAAATAAAATTACTTACAATCACTTTATCCAACGGTCTGACACGACCATACAGTGTCTCCTATCCATTTTTTATTTTTCAGATTATTTTCTTGTTTTGTTACTCTCTCCAAACTCAAGTTGGTTAGTTCCTATCCCCCTTGAGTTTGCGGGGGGCTGTTAAACCTACCATCACCTACTCCACCTACTACACCTACCACCACCTACTACCACCTACTACACACCTACCACTACCACCTACTCCACTACATCTCCTATATAAGGAGCCCCTCACCATTTGTAATATATAACAATAACATCAATCAATAATACATACAATTTATTCTCTATCTATCAATTTACAATTTATTTTACATAATCACTTTATCATGTAAACTTAACAGCTGCAAAAACACAAGCAACATACATTAGAAATAGATCATGCAGCATACCTCCTCTAACTTCTCACGAGGGTTATAAAATACAGATTCCACTGAGAGCATTGCAACAGTTATTAACATTTCTTCCAAGCAATTGAACTGACTAGCCAGGATAAGTGCCTTCGAATAAATAGGCTCTAAGGGTAGCTGGGCCATTTGATGCCCAACAGGATCTGACAATTTATATTCCTCTGTTAGAGCACCTAGCAAGACCAGTAACTCCAATGATTTGACAACAGCTTCACTGTTCAAAAGACAAAATTAATGTGATAAATTTTCTTTAACCATATAATACTATTCTGTGACATAAAAATGAAATTCAGCAAATGGAATGAACATTCAGCAAATGTCAAAAGCCAGCGGTTTTCTGGTAAATATTGTAGGCTCCTTGAGAAAGCAGACAAGATGGATGATATACAGATAATTACAGAAATTACGATTAACAATTAACAGACAACAAAGAAAATCAAGAAGACTGGATTAAAGTAAATAAAAAAAAAATTACCAATATGAACAGAACATTAGGCCTATATATATTGTTGCATTCTAGACCAAAAACAACCAGTTTGATTATCTCGCTTCAATTATCCAAGGAGAGGGTAAGAGTAGATGTTTCCTATAGAATCATAATGAGGTTAATTAATGTAGGGATGCTTGTCAGGAATATTTTGTCAATTTGATCAAATTAACAACAAAATTATTGGAGAGGCAATTTTTCCCGATGTCGATTGATATAGGGATGCTTGTCAGGAATATTTTTGTCATGTGAATCCAATTAACAAGTAAATTATTAAAAAAGAACTGTATAACACATCTTATACTGTTCAGCCATGAGGATATAGACATATACCTAAGTGGCAAATTAGAAATAAAAACATTGAAGAAACTACAGTTAGCACCGAATGAGGACAATATAACTAATGGAGACAAGTTACAGTACATTATCAAACTGTACAAACTGCAAGAACAGATGTTCCCGAGGCCCAAGCCTTACTTTGGCATGTTATTGATGTGGCTTCAAATTGGGAGCTTGTAATTTACTTTTAAAATCAAATTTAATCTTATTTTATGTTTGAAGTCAAACATTTCTATTTCAGTTTTTCAGATGTTTGATTATGTTTTTGGAGTCAAGGATCTTTTAATAATCTTCTAAATTTTCTTTAAACATGGACTGCAATATTGGTATGCATGTAAGATTTTACGTTATTTGTGATATTTGGTCTTCATTAATAGACATAAGCAGGTTTATATGAGTTTTGCTACTAAGTCTTTAAGTTACTAAATATGGAAACACAAGTTTTAGAGAAGTTGAAGGTTGTGCAATGCAAGCTTACCCCAACACTGATGCCAAAGGGATTCAAGTGGGGAATGAGAATTTTCTCTTATTCTATCTATTTTTGCTCTCCTTGTACCTAGATCTGATTATAGAAATTGCTCCACTAAATTGTAGGCATAAATATGCATAATAATTAACCCAATAAAACCTTCCTGCAAATGCAATGAAAACTTAATTTCAATGATTTGTTTGGGGAGTCCTAAATAAGTGCATTTTTTATCTTTTTAGACTAAAAAATTGAGGAAAAAAATGTAAATGTTTGGGTTAACTTTTTGACTTTTTATGGAAAAAATATGTATTAAAAAAGTTATAAAAATTGGTTTGTAAGGAAAAATTAGGATTGGGAGTTGTGCAGCCGTAATTGTTGACTTTTTGTGAATAGTGTTAACTTTTTAACTTTTTGAGTAACTTTTTGACTTTTTGACTTTTTCTTATCTTCCCAAACTTGACCTTAATTTGCACTGCCAAGGAATAATATAATTAGACAAATCAAAGCAAATCCAACCAAAAAACATGCTTTAATCCAAGCTTTAACAATAAGATGGGTACAAATTATGCTTTGCAAACCTCATAAGCTAAAAACAATCTAATTGACTTTTTTTAACATCATTGCTTAATTAACAACATTTTAGATGTATTCCTAACTTTTTATACTTTTTACTTCCAATCAAGTTGTTTGGATAGTACAAGAAGAAAAATGAGAAGGAATGAAGGACTTTCGTTGAAATAGTGAAAAAAAAGAAGAGGCCAGACAGACAGTTAAATACAACGACACAAAGTACATAAGCAAATAATATGAGGTGATCAACCCAAAAAAATCATCATTGGGCCTAGTAAAGTTGACATAATCAGAACTTATCAAAAAATGCATGCACAAACAGCCAATCGCGAAATGCTCAGAAAAGTGTTAAACCAATCTCATTGTATTATTTATTTCACCTTGATGGTTTTTCCATGAAGTCAAACCCAATAATATCATCAACGCCAAGAGCCTTGAGTTGCAAAATGACATTTGAAAGGTTGCACCGTCTAATCTCTGGAATTGTGGAATCACTGAGTTTCTCAAATTCACTCTCAGGATAGAGGCGGAAGCATTTTCTGGGTACTTCACGGCCTGCACGTCCACTGAAATAAATATAGTAGGCACAAGATTAAAATCCATTCATCTATTCTTCAGTTAGGCTCCGTTTATTTTAACGTAAAATGTTTTTGTCAAAAATATTTTACTCATTTTCCATTGTTTGGTCGAACAATAAGTAAAACATTTTTTAAAGAAAATATTTTTGCATCATTTTTTTCAAAAATGACTTGCCTTTAAAAATTCCGTAAGTCCATTTTTACAAAATTAACTCACTCACCATCTTTTCAACACATTTAGATTTAGCCTTTTCAAATAAGTATCTTAGCTCACTAAAAATTCATAAATAACACTTTTATTAAATCAAAATTTCTCTTTTAGGCAATAAATGTGTTTGTTTCAAGTGTCAACCAAACGCCGAAAAACAAAAATAAAAACATTTTTGTGTAAATCAATTTACAAGAAAAATAATTTTTTGTGTAAAATATTTTACTTCAAAACAAATGGAGCCTTAGTGGAAATTGTGTGCAAGTAAACAAAAGGACTATTGAATGAATTCACAAAAATTCACTCCTTATTTTTAAATGTTTTAAAGATATGATATGATGAATAAGAAACATACTTAAAAATAATAAATAAATAAATAAAGCATAAAATGGATTTTTTCCGTTAAGTTATAGTCCGGTATGCCTACCTTCTTTGAAGAGCCTGTGCTTTTGAGGTTGGAACAATGATCAATGATTCCATCCCTGTATGAGCACAGTAGGTGCGTGCTTTCACAAATCCAGGATCTATCACATACTTGATTCCAGGTATTGTTACAGAAGTTTCAGCAATATTAGTTGCCAGTATTACCTGAAAAGAACATGTAACTGGTGCTTAGACACACAGATACCTTTAGTTGTTAAGAGTAGTGCATCAGCAACAAAATAGATGACCCAAAATGCAAGTATAGCTTGCACTTACAATGCACAATATTGAAAATCATGCCCAATCCAAATATTAATACCAAAAGAACAACAAAAAACAATAATGATCAAAGAAATAAAGAGTGCTCATTAGTTGGATTATCACAATATATTTCATCTTAAGCATCAATATACATGATCCAGTATTTTAGAAGGATTAGAAGCATCTTAAAATATATGAAAACATCACTAGGGACAACCTCTACCAAAAAGGCAGAGTCTGATTCAGTATTTACACCAGGGACACCCTTTCAAAAAGGCAGAGAACTCTATCAGACTGTCCTACCAACACTTGTGACAGTCATGCAATATACAAGAGTAACCATTTTTAGCTCTGAGCAAGTGCCATCCTGATGCACTTGGATGTACTTTTTAAAACCCTTGTATGCTTCAAGGAGCATTTGAGTAACCAGAAGAGTTTAAGGTACGTTGCAGGCACTCACCAAAACCTTACGCTGGTAAGATCATTGTCAATGCACTTGGCATGCAATCACTGATCAAGGATATGGACTTCTTTTGATCTTCACATAACTTAATTTTGTCCAATTATTGATAGCAAGTTAGCAACCCATTGATATTTCATTAATCATGCTCATAGGGGCTTCAGACAAGCATAGTTGCCTATAAAAGTTTCAATTGCATGACTGGCAATAACATGTCAGTTCGAATTACTTTCTGCGGCATTTCTTATGACAAGTTGCCCTCTACAGCCAGAGATTATCCATTATTTACAGAATCAGCTTCAACCAAGGAGATCACACTACAATGACACTCAAGGCAGACTTGAATAAAGATCCATTAATTGTTTTCCCTCGAAAATTACAATAAAAAGGCATCGAATTAGGCATTTATAATGACAATAATATGTATCTGGTCATCCCCTACCCAAAAGAAATCTACCATGCACCAACAATCTACCTTGCGAAATCCAGTTGGAGCTGGCATAAAGACCTGCATCTGCTTTTCTGAAGGGAGGGATGAGAATATCGACAAAACTTTGACCTTCTGATTGTCTTCTGGCAACTGTCGAAGTTTTTCTTGGACAAGCCTCTCAACAGATTCAATCTCTTCTTGGCCAGTCAAGAATACAAGTATATCACCAGGACCCTCCTCCAAATGTATCTACCAAGATGACCAAATGAGTTAATGAAACTGTAAGAATGAATGCTAACAAGGATAGCCAGGCAACACCTAATAACAAATAAAACAATTGCAGACTCAAATTGATTTTGGTCAATATTGAGAGATGTATAGGTTCCAAGAAAGCCCTTTTGATCAGCAAGAAAAAAAGACTAGAAAACTTCAGTCCGTCCATCACAACAAGGAACATGAGACATTGAAAACTAAATAGCAAGTAGCCAGGTGAAAGTATCCTAAACAGGCTTCAAAAAATTCACAGATGTGCACACCAAAAAATAAAACAATGACCTGTGTAGCCCAAATTCCATTTGGAAAAACAGCAAAAGATTAGACTGTAGCAAACTCAGTATCAGTTGCACATCACAAAAGTTGAAAAAAAAAATTACGGGCTAATGGAGTGTATAGGTTGGAAGCAACCAAAGAAGCTCAATTGACAACCTGAAATAAAGTTATTAAAGTGGCATCGAGGTAATCTGTCTCAGGATGATGAGTGTAGAGTATATCCACAGGAAACTGTCGCCCTTGAACATGAACAGCTCTCGCACCACCAAAGTACTCAGAAAAAACTCGTGCATCCAGACTAGCAGACATGATGATTAACTTCAATGGACTCAGCTTTATGCCCCTATACTGCTTGAGAATACTAGCACGTTGAGCATCATTTTCTTTCTCCATCAGCAGACCGTTGTTAGCCTTCATACGGTCAATATTAGAGCATTCATTGATAGGTCCTGACCTTACTTTCTGTACAGTTTTCAGTAAGCCCAGCAAGACATCAGTGTGGACAGTTCTCTCGTGAGCCTCATCAACAATAATAACTGAATATCTAGAGAGATATGGGTCCAATAACGCTTCCCTGTAAGTATATTTAACCTCATATTAGTTCGCATGTAATAAAATAACATGATAAAGTTCCAGCAAGTGAATAACCCTATAATTAGTTTAAATAATCCAGACCTCCTATACCATTTTTCAACACCACAAATCCATCAATTGCTCCAATAGTACTAAAATCTTCAGTCCCTCACTATCTTATTTTCTCAAACCTGCTGCCCTACTTGTATTCACATCCATTTAACCCAGAGAAGAAAAGGTCATCTTGAAAATCTTCTCTATGTCTTGGATGCCTGAGGTATCCTTCAGCACTTACACTGAAGACTGAACCCATAATCTGTAACTTAACTCTCCCGGCCGGGATAAAATATTAGAGAACAAATAATTAACCACAAAGAAAAAGTTTCAGGCTTAAAACCATGACACAATTTTTATTGCCCATTAGACATGACTATCTAAATGGAGCAACAAACCTACAAGATTCAAAAAATATGCAATATTTTTCCAGAAAATGCTAACCAAACTAAAACAGACTTAATATAGAAACATTTTGGTGACTTAACAATTAACATAATATGACTAAATCATGAATACTTATTGCCTCAAAAGCAATCCATCTGTCATGTATTTAATCCTTGTTGACCTGGAAATCGTATCATCAAATCTAATGGAATACCCAACTCTTTGGCCCAATTGAACACCACATTCCTCAGCTACCCGTTTTGCAACACTAACAGCTGCGACACGTCTAGGTTGTGTAATACCAATCAATGTGTTTGGTTTGAGTTTTTTGAATTAAGTTTTTTGAAAACTAAGTTTTTTAGTTTTTGTGTTTTTTTTGTTTTTAGTGAATATTTTTAAAATTTTAAACATTTTTTTTACTTTTTAGATGCACATTACTTAGATGTATCTAAAAAGTAAAAAATTTGTGAAAAAATGTTTTAAAAAATTAATAAATACATAAAAATACAAAAAATGTACTGAATTCTCGTATTTTTTTTTGTATTTTGGGTATTTAGTGAATTTTTAAAAGTTTTTCTTCACAAATTTTTTACTTTTTAGATACATCTAAGTTAGGTATGTCTAAAAATTAAAAAAATTGCTTAAAATATTAAAAAAATCAGTAAAAAAAAAAACACGAAAAATAAGAAAGTAGAATTTTCTAAAAAGTGTTTTTTGAAAAGTGAAACCAAGCATAGTGAATGACTTTCCCATCATGGCATAATCCCGCATTAAACAGAAACTGCGGCAACTCTAAAAGAAGCAAAACAAAAGCCCATATAAGCATAAAAGGTTAGAGAGGGAAGCCTCATGGACACAAAATGATGTGCTCAAGATGGAGTGGTTTTTTTTTCCACAAAGGATGACTTATTGGGCTTTAAAAAAAAAAAAAAAAAAATTTGATTTTTTTTTTAATTTAGTATATTTAAGTTTTAGGGTTTCTAATCAATTTTTGTCAAGTCTAGAATGGATTTGTTTCAAATGGGCATGGATTTTAGTTAGGGTCTAAGTAATTACCATATTAGGGTTACTTGAGAATAAAGTCACTTGGTTGTGAAGCAATTACTAGTTGAGAAAAGTTTTCTAGGATATCTTCCTCAGAGAACAAGTTTAATATAATTAGCTATATGCACATATAATCGGGATATCAGGTGAAGATTTTGGTGAATAAAATTTAGATTTTTTTTTGTTATTCTTCTTTTGTCTTCATATCATGGCTTGGTTTTTGCCCCATAGCTTGTTGTAGCCATTTTTCTTTGTTAGTATTCCTTGATCACATAATATGCCACACACACTCCTCCACTACTATGTTATATGCACTACTTTAAGTATAGTGCATATTTGAGCATGGGAAGAAATAAGTAATAAAAATACTTTTTTCCCTGATAAGTGGAAGAAGCAATATATGAAAACATGTACGATGAAAAGTATGGCATATGAAAACATGTATGGCATATGAGAACATGTATGGCATATGAAAAGTACCAACCTACAATTTATATGATGCAATAAAACAGAACGCCATAAAGCATATTAGACTTAACATTCTTGAATCTTCCTTCACACACACACACACCATAAAATATAAAGGAAATTAAAAAAGAGTAGTCAAAAACTTATAAGGATAAGAACTTACGTGTTGTTTTTCCACTTCCAGTTTCACCAACAATTATCAATATATTGTTACTCTTGACCTCCTCCACAAGTCGTTTTTCAACTAGGGAATCATCAATGATATGAGAAACAAATACTTGCGTGCTAAACCAAAATTAAGAAACCATATGAAAAGAGAACATATTTTGAGTATGCAAAAAATAAACTCAATGTATGACATGATTGAACTTTATTCTCAATACAATTCCATAAAAGCACAAGTAATTTTACCTTCATAATTTTGTCTAGGTTTCATTGCCAATGTCAACAAAAAATTGAGGTGTAGGGGATAAAATGATTAATAAACTATTTACCTCCATAAACTAGTGTCATGTTAAATTAACAAGCAAAAGAGACTTGAATAAAACTATAAGAAAATGAGATCCTTCTCAGAATAGGTCTTTAATTTACCAAACAAAAATACGACAAGATGCCATGTAATTGATCTCCAAGATGACCAAAAATATTTACTTAGACAACATCCTAAAGAGTGCTCAACTAGTCGACATTCATGTTTAATCTCTGCTTTCATCATTAGGTAAAGAGGTTGCACTAAATCCAAGTGAAACAATGAAAGCTAAGGCCCCGTTTGTTTTCAAACGTAGAATGGAGAGGATCCATATAGTGAGGGAATTAATAGTGAGGGGATTGATAGTGAGGGGATTAAGTAAAATTGTGTTTGTTTTTATGATAGTTGTTAGTGTAGGAATTGTTAAATTATTTTTATATAAAATAATAAAATAAATAAAAATATATAAAAAATTAAACATTAATATTTATAAAAATATTCCCAATATATAAAAAATAAAAAAATTTCTAATCCCCTCACTATTTTTCTAATACCATCTTCCCAACCTCCATCTCAATCCCCTCCCCAACCTCCATCTATATCACCTCCACCATCCTAATCCCCTCCCCAACTCTACGAACAAACACAACACTAAATAACACCTCCACCATCCTAATCCCCTCCTATCTACTTAACCCCAAAACAAACGGGTAGTAAAGGTTATTTACACTTCTAATGATTTTATGTAGGGTGACACGCCATCTTAGGAGCCAGCCTTCTATCATTATCCTCAAGGTAATGAAACTTCAATCGTAAATATGGTTGTTCAGTATTATTAACAACATTTACAAACACCCAACAGCATATATGAAGCAGGAACAATGACTCCCCTCCAATTACATGACTATTGGCCAAAAATAGTACAGCAATATTAAACATTTTTGCAATAATTTTTTTCCTTTATAAATTATAAGTAAAAGTCTGCTAACAAATATTAGAAATGACTATAAACAATTAAAAACCATGTCCTCTGTTTCCAAAAATAAATGTCAGTGCCAACTGCAAAGTTAACCTTAGACTTGCTCTAACTTCTTCTATTTTTATCTCACGTTTAAACTCATATCCCCCGACCCCTCCCCATGGGATGAAAAAATATAGGGCAAATTACACCTCTAGTTCTGATACTTTGGCCCTTGTGTCATTTTGCTCTCTGTAATTTCAATTGGCTCGATTTTCACCTGAATTTTTTACTTTGCCTCAAATTGGTCAAATTGTTAGCATTTTTTTTATCAAAAATGTGCACATGAGCATCATATGTTATATTTTAAGCAAGGTTCTAAAAAGCAGTTGCGGTCGCCGTAACGGTGGCGGTGACGCGGTTGCGGTTGCGGTTGCGGGGTGTAAAGGCCGTAACGTAACGGTTGTGGTAATCGGAACCGTGAATTTTTTTATTTTTTGCACAATTTAAAAAAAACTTACCAATACGCATATTTTTTCCCCATAATCATATTTATTGGGTTTTAAAATAAATATTGATCAATTTTTGTAAATTTTTAAATATGATCCAATATATTTTATATTTTTAAATCACTATAAACTGAATTTTTTACATTTTATTTTAATAATTAATGACTTTATATGTCCTAAATCCATATTATGCTTGTGGCATCAAAAAAAATTTTTATTGGACTTAGATGTATAAAATTATTTTTTTAATTATTATACTTGTGGAAGCATATGCAACTTTTAATTTGAATAGTTTTAAAAAATAAATTATACATGCTAATGTAATCATATAAAAATTAAAAAATAAATTACAAACAATTTTTTTTTGTTTGGGTTTGGATCACTTGAATATTCATTCTCTTTTTGAATAACTAGTAAATAAAAATAAAATAAACTAATAAAAAAAATTGACATGTATAAAAAATATATTAATATATAATTATAGGTGTTATGTTTTCTAGATATTTTACAAAAAAAATCAATCACTAAACAATGACAAAAGTACAAGAATAAATAATAGCCTATATATATATAAATAGATAATGACCACATTTATTATTATTATTATTATTATTTTCAAACAATATATATAGATAGACGCATACAAACAAAATGGTTGAGTGATAACAGCTGAATAGAATAGTATAGGTCTTACAGCTTTAACAAATCAATAACATGTTCATCATCTTCTCTCTTTTCTCTCTCTATTTCTTACTCCTCCATCTTCCCTTTTCATCTTTCCTCTTCTCTCTTCCCCCATTTTCAGTTTTTTTTTCGAAAAAAGCAGTTCAGAACCGTTACGTAACGGTGTGTAACATGCCGTTACGGCCGTTACAGCACCGTTACAACCGCTACGACAGTCTGCGCTCCTCCGTACGACGTCGCCTTATCACCTGAAAACACAAACGTGAGCTAGCCGGCGGGTGTGTGCCGGAAACCTCTCTGATGCCTAAGTCAGTAAGCTTGACAAATAGACAAAAGCTCTGTGTATTCAGAAAGCAAAGTTGTGTGTTACCTTTTTAAAGGTGATGTTTTTTGAGCTTTTATAGGTTTTGCGTGGCACAATCCTAGTAGGACTTCTACTCCTCCATGCAGAGTCCTCCTAGGATTCATATTCCTGAAAGATAATGCTTATCCTTCAACACCCCCCTCACTGCTTAAACCAAGTGAGATGGTTTTTACCATGGCCGAACCACAATATGACCGAAATAAAACTGGCTATGCTGAGCCACAGAGTAGGCCGAACTATACTTAGTTCAGTTCTCCCTTTTACTCCTCCTTATCTCGATTCTCACATGTACAACCCATGGTATGTTTAGACCGAGCTTCCAAGTAGCAAGGTTATGACCATTCTAACCACAATACGTTATAACCGAACTAACTCTGAGACCGGCCTAACGACAAGTTGCTTCCGGACCGAAGTAATTTTACACTTCTTCTGGACCGGAGTAATCTTTTACCTCTCTTGGGCCGGAGTAATCTTACAGCCTTTTTACCTAGCCCTTCATGCTTTGGGTCATAATGTCCATCTCATAGCTCGGCCCAATTTTCACCAAAATTACCCTCTCAATACATGCTAATGTAATCATATAAAAATTAAAAAATAAATTATAAACAATTTTTTTTTTGTTTGGGTTTGGATCACTTGAATATTCATTCTCTTTTTGAATAACTAGTAAATAAAAATAAAATAAACTAATCAAAAAAATTGACATGTATAAAAAATGTATTAATATATAATTGTAAGTGTTATGTTTTCTAGATATTTTACAAAAAAAATCAATCACTAAACAATGACAAAAGTACAAGAATAAATAATAGCCTATATATATATAAATAGATAATGACCACATTTATTATTATTATTATTATTATTTTCAAACAATATATATAGATAGACGCATACAAACAAAATGGTTGAGTGATAACAGCTGAATAGAATAGTATAGGTCTTACAGCTTTAACAAATCAATAACATGTTCATCATCTTCTCTCTTTTCTCTCTCTATTTCTTACTCCTCCATCTTCCCTTTTCATCTTTCCTCTTCTCTCTTCCCCCATTTTCAGTTTTTTTTTCGTCCGAAAGAAGCAATTCAGAACCGTTACGTAATGGTGCATAACAGGCCGTTACGGCACTGTTATGACCGCTACGGCAGCTGCTACGATTGACACACTTGTAAATCTCAATCACACTGCAAAAGCAGTCGTAACGGGTGGCGGTAACCACTACAACAGTTACGTAACACGTAACGGTTGCGGCCGCTTTTTAAAATCTTGGGTGTGTCTAAAATTTTTTTAAAAATTGCCTAAAATATTTAAAAAATTCATTAAAAACAATATAAACGTATAAAAAAAATAAAAAAAAAAACTAAAAATCAGTCTGTCTCAGTCGAACAAAGGCAGAGCAGAGAGAGAGAGAGAGAGAGCGAAAGAGAGAGGCAGAGGCGAAAGAGGGTTACCTTCGAAGACGAGTGGATCGAGGGTCGAAGACGACTGGATCGATTGAAACAGAGACAGAGACGACTGGATCAGAGGTCTACGATCGACTTCGGAGGGCTTCGATCGACAATGGAGGGCTGCGACTGAGAGAGAGCTTCGATCGACTTCAGAAGGCTTCGACAGAGAGAGAGGAGGGCTTCGCAGGTCTGATTTTACTCATTTAATCCCTAGTTGTTCGATTAGGGCTTTGCCCGTTGGTGTGTTTTTTTTTTTTTTTTTTAAACTTTTTAAATATTATATTTTGACCCCAAATAAATATAAAAAATTCGAAAAAGAGCCCCGCCGTGTCCCATGGCGTGTCCAGATATGGACACGCGTGTCCCTGCCGTGTCCCCTTCCAAAAAAATCATTAAATTAAAGGGACACACCATCTGGCGTGTCCCGTACGTGTCCCCGGCGTGTCCCCGTGTCCCCGGCGTGTCCGCGTGTCGGACACTGCCACGGCACCATTTTTGGAGTGTCCATGCTTCATAGATGACCACACTTATTATTATTATTATTATTTTCAAACAATATATATAGATAGACGCATACAAACAAAATGGTTGAGTGATAACAGCTGAATAGAATAGTATAGGTCTTACAGCTTTAACAAATCAATAACATGTTCATCATCTTCTCTCTTTTCTCTCTCTATTTCTTACTCCTCCATCTTCCCTTTTCATCTTTCCTCTTCTCTCTTCCCCTATTTTCAGTTTTTTTTTCGAAAAAAACAGTTCAGAACCGTTACGTAACGGTGTGTAACATGCCGTTACGGCCGTTACAGCACCGTTACGACCGCTACGACAGTCGCTACGGCCAACACACCTGTGAATCTCAATCACACTGTAAAAGCGGCAGTAACAGATGGCGGTAACTACCAAAACCGTTACGTAACGGCGTTACTTAACGGTTGCGACCGCTTTTTAAAACCTTGATTTTAAAGGTAAAATTGTAAATTTAATCAACTCATTGACTTAACCTCAACCATCTAAGTGATCATTTTCTATATCGCCAAATTTGGCGCAAAATCTAAAATTAATAATCAAAATTGAATCAATTGAAACGGTAGAAACTACCGGCATAATTTGTCCAAAAATATATGCATACATTAGACTTGTTTCAAAAATCAAAATCCCCAAAAGAGGTTCATAGCAACTGTATGGAAAACGATAACAAACAATAGTACAATGATTGAAAGCAACTGCGGACTTGAAAAGAAGACGAAATCTAAAGCAGATAAACTGTGCACAAGTATTAAAAACAACCACCAAATACCTGAAGCGATTGGTAGTGATTTTCTCTGTTGCACAATCCTATGCTTCCTATATAGATAGAGATAAATAGATAGAAAACATTAACGGTGTGTTTGGTTAAGAGACTTGAGTAGAGATTTGGAAATGGAAAAAGAAAATATTGGTACAATTTGAATAAAATATAGTTTCACATATTTTTTCCTTTTTCTTTCCAAATCCGTCCCCAAATTGCTAAACCAAATGCAGCTTAAAGAGAAAAAAAATGGATACGAACAGAAAGAAAATGAGACCTGGCGAAGAATTCGGCCCTGCGATCGTCATTGGATACTTTACCGTTCAGTTGATTATTACTCTGGTTGGAGTTCTTGGCTCCGCCAGGAGCCATTGACGGCATCTTGGAGAGAGAGAGAGAGAGAGAGAGAGAAAGAACTGCAATTTCGAACAGAAACGAAGATGTCGGAGAGAGAGAGAGAACACTGAGAAATTAGAAGACCTAATTCGAAAATTTACAACGCGGTCACAATTAACCGGGAATATGGATAGTCACGGGTCGGAACGGGTTTATAGTAATCTATCCTGTTCCATATTGGAGGTCGCGAGGCCGCGCTGAAAAACGATTATAAATACACCTGATGTTAGTCTAAAATATAAATTGTTGTTTGGATTTGATAAATTATAAATATTTTTTTATCAAACTTCTTTATTAAAAAAGTAAAATTAATTAAAAAATAAAATTTTTAATTATTCATTTATATAATAATAAAATTATTTGAATTATTAATTGAAATAAAATTTTAATATTATTAAAAATTATTAATTAATTTGATAATTTATTAATAAAATGACATATTTATTATGAAATTAGAAACCTTAGAGGGCATAATGTAATTTTTAAAACTATAAAGTTAATTTATAATTTAAGTAAATCTCAGAAGGCGTGTTTGTAATTTATCCAAAAAACTAAAACTTGTACCTAATGAGCAAAGCTTGAAAAATAAACTTATGACATGAGTGTCTTAAATTATCAATCCAATTGAGAGCTTGCGTCACGAAATACAATTTACAAAATAATAATGTTAAAAGTTTCAAAAATTTTATTAAATTTTTATCAAATATCTCATATAAATACAAAACTCATGTCATTTGTTATAAATTTTGATAGAAAGTTTGGGATCTTGTATTTTTGTTTACAAAACTCCATTCCGCGCGCTGCTCTTAACGAACTTAACGGCCACAGAGCTCCCCGGAAACCCAGCAACTTTTCCATGGCTCACCGAGAATTTCTTCAACCCGCCAACCCAAACTCTCACTCTCTCTCTCTCTCCTCACCTCTCTGTCTCTCTTAAAGAATTAATTTTAAAATACCCTTTTATTCTCATTTTTAAATATATTTATAAGAGTTAATTACATTTTACCTCCTTATAATTTAATTCAAAAATACATTATCCCATTCAAGTTTATAAATATATACCAACCTCTTATAATTTGGAGTAAAGTATAAAATCTAAATCTAACTTTATTATTAATTTTAACAAAAAGTCTATATTACCCTCTCTTTTTTTAATTTTCTTTTTCATGCCATTACAACATACCATAATTTTTCTCACTTTTCATTTTCTTGGCTGCCCTTTCTATTTTATTTCCCTCATTTCCTCACTAGCACCACTAGACTCCACCATGACCAGAGAGCCTTTTTTTTTTTTTTTTTTTTTTTTTTTTTTTTCTTGTCATTTTCTCCCGTTCATCTTCATGTGACAACATGCAGAAACAGACCATCCACCATTACCCCTCTCTCTCTCTCTCTCTCTCTCTCTCTCTCTCTTACATACAAATATCATTTCTCACAATTCATAGACATCCTTTGTAATGAGATCTAAAGGTTGCAAAAATGAGAAATCTTCATCCATATTGATATCACAATTACTCAAGTTTACTTTGATCTTTAGATACTAGAGTCCTTTTATGTACAAATATGTTAAGAGCTCTAGTGGAACCAAATTGCCATTAATAAGGCATTTGTTACTGCTTGCCTCGTATCTTGAAGCACATATTCAATGCATAAAACCTTATCTTGAAGATACAAGGTAACCAAAGACAAAATATTTCAATTCCACGAACGTGATGAAGGTCAATGTTGTAGAATCATCGAAAGATGTTTTAGTTGGAGGATTTGGGAAAAGATTTGGAAAATAAAAGGGAAAAGATAGGTAAAGTATGAATAAAATATACATATATTTCATTTAATTTCACACTTTTTCTCTTTCTCTTTCCAAATCTCTCAACTAAACACAACATAAACGATCATGTAATTGAGCTTAGAGGTTGTTGGCATTTTGACTTTCGAATGTTAGTATTGTAATTTTAAGCGTGCCAGCAAGGATCAATCAGTCCTTACAGAAGATTAATTACCAACCAATTATCAGACGATTGTATTTTAGTTCTTTCAGCTTCAATGAAGAGGACTTTTACCGGTGGCTTATGCAGGAGAATTTAGTAAATAACAATTAAATGAAGAATAATTGCAGCATTTCATTAAGTAAAATAAAAAACTTACAAGGATCTGACACAGCCTCGTAAAGGTTTGTAGTAACAAGCTATTCGAAACTACTCCTATGAATGAAGTGTAATACAAGAATTTGAAATACAGAAAATATAAAGAACTGTAAAAACTGGAAGGAAAATAAAGTAGGTAAAAACTGATTCTGGATTTGAGTCTAGGTCCTCATTTCTGGGGCCTTCTCTGCTATTTATACTTCTCAATAATAACCGTCGAAATGGGTTCGCAACTGTCAAAATATCCCTCAATGCTCTCTCACAATCAGCTCCACTACGCCATGTTTGCAGTTAGGCTTCCCTCCTGATTTTGAATTTGAACCTTGTGAGTAATTGTTAGGCCACATCACCTTATATCCCTCGATCATTCCAGTGCTACGCAGACCCATTATTACTAGTATGGGTTGACACGTGTCCAACTATGGTTGGTAATTTATATTACCTTCCCAAATTGCCCTTTTCATACCACGTGTTGAATTGTGATTGGCTCATTCAATTTATACAGCCAACATTACCACTCGTACTAATATATCCAATACTTGGTGATATTAGTAGATCAAAACACTTCACCCACGTCCTAGGACGTGCATGGGTTTTACGTCTTCTTAGAACCGCAACTGATTGCATTAAATTCTTGAACATTTCCCACTATCTGAGCATTCGAAAAGACTGATACAATTCACATGGCCAAACAAGCTTTCTTTGACATAGATCAAGCATACAATGAGTTGTTAGATAATGATGTTCGCCCTCGAAAGAATTTTCATGCATTTATTAGCCACACCTATCTATCTCCATAAATTCAAGTCATGGAAGCTTTTGCAATCTATTGACCTTTGGATTACGAACCTATTGTTCATAATTCTTTAACCCAAAACTTTGCAAACATGAATATTGGAAGCTCTTCTTCTAACCCAAAACCATCTACGTGGGATGAGGTTGCAGCTTCTTCTTCTTCTTCTAAGGCTTCTGGCTGGGGAAACTGGCCAAAACTTGAGGAATCCAAGCTGAAAGAGCGAATTAATCATCATTTCGTCGAATTCGCTGACCCTCTATCTTTCCCTCCTTTCGCTTGGAGCTTGGTGGTTTACCCATATGTATCCATCGATCGCCAACGCAGTTTGGAAGACAACTTACTTATAGCATGGTACACATCCTCCATGCCTACGAAGATAGTGCAAACCACTCATCGTCTAGAGGAAACACAAGAGTACAACCCGTCATTCTTAGCCCAGAGGGCAAAATTTTGCTCTTCTGACTAGCTTGATTGCGTAAACAACCCTCAGTTCCCTTCTTCTTTTGAGATGGATCCTTTTGCACCTCCTCTTCCGCAAAACCCTCACTAGATGGAAGAACTGAGACTTACTCTCTTTGAGAATCAGTTTCTTCCTTCATATCAACGTCCAACTCCCCCCACTATATTTGAGCGATATCAAACTCAGCTTCTGCTTGCAGCCTTTTCTCATTTGCCCTTCAATGTTCTTGAGGGTGATGTTCCTCTTAAGAACTTTCGATGGGCTTGTGACATCATGACCCGGGGTCATGTCCTCAACCCCATTGCCCAAGCAGAGCTTCAGATGTTTTTGGATCAACTCCCACTGCTTCTTCATTGGCACCAAACTTCTTTGGCTATCATTCAATCTTTGGACAAAATCTCAACCTGTCAAATTCACACCCAGCATGAAGCAGAGAACCTTATCGACGAATATAATGATTTCAAGAATAAAGACTCTGCATATTGGGATGACTTGGATATAGATGAGATGGAACAAGGATTGAAGGAAACAAAGTTCGAAATAAAAGCCAAACAACTTTTTTATCAAATAAGAGCATATCAGCTTTAGCAACCTAGCTTGGAGAAGATAGAAGACAGAATAAAAAAGGAACATAAATTCATTGACCACAGTTGGAACAAATTCCATGACCTTGTCATTTTCTCTATTCCTTATTTTTATGAAATTGAATACGTAGCCAAAAAGGCTTTCTGATGTAATTACTTTCATCTTAATATAGCTAGGCTTTCCTTTCTTTATTCGGCATGGTTTGATTTCATTTTATTTGTCCAAAACAAACAAAATCAGAGCTTCGAATTCATCAATTTTGTCCTTCGAAATCTAATTTGAACATATTCAAATGGAATACTGGAGACCTAATTTGAACTTCCCCAACATATGGAGTGTAATTGACAACTTTTGCCTTAGGTCTTCTTTTTCCAATCATATGGTTAACATAATCATTAGTTTCGAATCAACTATTTTTGCTTCAAACAAACAGTCTACATTTTCCAAAGTATGGAAACTTCCCTTAAAGATTGCACAGTTTTATTCTTAAAAAGTGATTCCCTTTGTGTTCTTCACTGCTTAACCAAATATTGGTTTTTTCACTGCTTAACCAAATATTGGTTTTATGTCACTTCGAAATTTAGAACAAACAAATTCTAACTGCAGAGTATTTCAAATTTTACTTCGAAGGATTTTACTTTCAACGAGAAACCTAAAAGCAAGTTTTTAATTCTCTTGAAATAAACAAATACCTGAGCACTCTTGTACTCTTAGGTGTGAAATGTGCTTTGAAGTCAACTTCCAGATTTCGAAGCTTTAGCTGAATATTTGTCACCTAATTTTGGAGCCAAAGCTTGGCTTTGAAGCCAAATATTTGATTTCGAAGTCAATATAAGTATTTGAGATACATTTTCCTCCCAAATTATCAACATTAAGATAAACTTTTCGCATCCGTACCCTTAGTACTTCTTTATGAATTCTACCCATTTAAAACGATTGGGTATTTTTTGGACAGAAAGGTATAAAAACCCTTTTATTTCGTGCTTCTAATTCACTTGTTCACCCAACACACAAACCCTTCACATCTATTGACTTCTGTTTTCCCTTACCCTTTTTTTCAACTTCGTCTTCTAAAAAACTCCTGTTAATGGTATCTTCCTCCTTGAAAATACCAGTCGTGGAGCGTGCGAGTCCATCCTTAGCCTTAAAAGGGA